CTCTCCCTTCCCTAGATCTCAGAAGCTCTCTCCTCTTTTCCTTCCCCATTGTCTCCATCCCATCACAGAGCGACATGGTCTGAAGGTTTGTTTCTTACTGGAATATACGTGGATACTTTTTCAAACCAGTAACTTTTTATTACAAAAGCAATAGACATTTCTTTTTTTTTTTTAATTTTTTATTTATTTGACAGACAGAGATCACAAGTAGGCAGAGAGGCAGACAGAGAGAGAGGGGGAAGCAGGCTCCCCGCTGAGCAGAGAGCCCGATGCGGGGCTCGATCCCAGAACCCTGGGATCATGACCCGAGCCGAAGGCAGAGGTTTTAACCCACTGAGCCACCCAGGTGCCCCGCAATAGACATTTCTTATAGAAAATGTAGAAAATGCAGGCTGACCAAAGGGAAACAAAAAACACCTGTAATTTTATCAATGAGAGGGAACATTTGGCTAAATACCCTTTTTTAGTTTTGTTGTTCTAAACATATAGCCACACCCTCCCCCCCCCTTTTTTAAACTCTGCCACAAGGAGCCTCTCGATTTCTTTCTTGCTTTATTTTCTTGGTCATCTTGGTTCCGGGATCCACTGATGGAACCCCCAGATGACCCTGCAGTTGGGGGTTAGAAAAGGCAGATGTTCTGGGGGACCCTGTGGGAGAGTCTGGACCCTCCCCTCCTCCCCTCCTTACCCCCAACCTGGACTTCTAGGGTTGGGACTATCAGATAGGGCTACTGACAGCACCCCCTCCCAAGGGGAACTGGAAAGTGCCTTCCCAGGCTGTAGTCTAGCAGCTGGGTGGGGAAGGGAGGGGTCTTGTACAATAGGGCAAACCACTCCTGATTCAGGGTTTTTTTTTTTAAGTGGGCAGGGATGATTTCGGGAGAAACAACTCAGTTTTGTCGGTGTTTATTGGAACTGTTGGGACCAATAAATTTTATTTTATTTTATTTTTTTAATTTTTTTTTAATTTTTAAAGATTATTTATTTATTTATTTGACAGAGAGGGAGAGATCATAAGTAGACAGAGAGACAGGCAGAGAGAGAGGGGGAAGCAGGCTACCTGCTGAGCAGAGAGCCCGATGTGGGGCTCGATCCCAGGACCCTGGGATCATGACCTGAGCCGAAGGCAGAGGCTTTACCCCACTGAGCCACCCAGGCACCCCGTGACCAATAAATTTTAGAAAAAACTCCTCAATATTGGAAGATAGGTTGGGTTAGAGGGGATAAGATGATGCAGGTCCCAAAGTTGAATGAATGCCAGGAGTGGTGGGCTGGGTGGAGTCTATGGATGGCTCAGTGTCTGCCCAGCTCAGGAGGACCCAAACTCAGTGCCTGGATTGCTGTAGGAATGTGAGCCCCAGATTGCCAGTCTCCCAAGTTTTCGCAAAAAGCTAGAAAAGCAGATTAAAAAAAAATGAATTTTCTGAATCTTTAAATGTTAGTAACTAATCAAAGAAGCTAAACCGCTGTTTGCATCAAAGCATGATTGGCTGCCAGCATGGAAATTTTCGATTAGCTTTCCTTCACACCTAATGTACTTTACACAGGTTGCCCTCATTTACTCGATGTGGCTTTTCTCCCTCTTTCCCTCTCCCATCGCATGACCTCTAGTGATATGACCTGCTTACCTAACCACTCCTTAAAGCTGAGTTTGAATCGTTTCTTCCCCAGCTCAAATCTGTCTTCACCAACATATTCACCAATATTGCTTCTACCCACCAAGCTCCTGGCTTTCCCTCTCAGGGTTTGAGTCAAATTGAGCAGCTCGTTGGTCAAAACGAGACCCATGGTCTTCACTGCCTGGCTTTTGCTCACTATGATTTGTTGTGCCTGAAACACCCACACCCGCCTGCTCATCTCTTTTTATAACTCCTCCATGAAGCCATTTCTCAACCTCCCTCTTAATTTCCAGCATCCGTTTTATTCAACCAGCCTCCGTTTTATTCAACAGCCTTTTGTTAGACACCTTGTATCACCAAGCATGGCCTGGCATGGGGGACACTGAGGTAAAATAAGACTCCATCCCTGGGGCACTTGACTGGCTCAGAGGAGCACGTGACCCTTGATCTCATGGTCGTGAGCTCGAGCCCCGTATTGCGTACAGAGATCACGTAAATAAATGAACTTACCATTAAGAAAAATAAATAAATAAATAAAAGCCCATCCCCAGCCCTGCCAGAGGAGCCTCCTCCAGATGAGGGCAGACTTACACTACCACGGGCCATGTATGCCCCAGAGCTGTACACAGCGCAGGTGAGTGGAGAGGGCAGCAATGGGCTTTGGCTGGAGAAACAGCAAACACTTTTTGAGCTTCATCACGAGGTAAGTAGAGGCTTTCTGGGGGAAAGGCATTTGAGATAGGGGCAACAGCCTGTGCAAAGGAATGGAGATGTGAAAGTTCTGAGAAACGGTGGGGATGGAAAAGAGGATGGCTGGGAAAGTCACCGAAAAAAGCGATTTGGGAACCAATCTGTTTCTGACAGTATTTGCATTCCTTTTGCTTGCGCTCCAGTGTAAGTTCTAGAAGAGTGGAGGCTGTGTCTCGGCTTTTGTGGTTCCACACCTGCTGTCTGCCTGGGACTGGGTACCCTTGCTCAAATGCTTTCTGCAAAACCACAGCGCCTGGTAGTGGTGAGAGTGCCCCCTAGCGGCCCCTGTGCGATCCTTCTTCCCGTTGTCCTAGCTGACCGGGCAGAGTCCTCCCTGCACCCCTGATCTGCACCCCGCGGATGGCACTTTGTCTGGCATCGTCTCACCTCATCTCCACCCCTCCCTAAGAGGGGGAAGTTCCTTTCTGTCCAACAAACAATTAAGCATTTATTTTTCGTTGATCACTGTTGGAGGCATTGGGCTAGAGAATTTCATGAGTCATTCATCACCTCAGCCTTGGAGGTGCTGCAGAGATCCAAGGGATAATGGAGGTTGTCCCCAGGGCTAGGGGCACTAGAGGAACCGAAACCATTTTGAGTCTTGAAGGATGGATGAATGGCTGGCAGAGTAGGAAGCCAAAATTCAATATCCTCTGAAATGGGGGGGGACCAGAGTAACGAGACTAGCCCCTGCCGTCTATCTACTACCATTTATAAGGTTACGGAGGGGATGTGGGGTGATGGAGACCCGAGACTACAAAGATACCATCTGTTGTCTCCAGGAGTTCACAACCTAGAGGGAAGACAGATAAGGAGACAGAGAGAAGGGAGCACTCTCTGCTCAGGGCATGTCTCCCACCTGAGCGAGCGTGGGAGCCTTTGGGGAAGAACAGTTCTGCCAAAAGTTGAGAAAGGAGGATGTGGTCCAGCTTGAGTGCGCGACAGTTACAAGAACACAGTAGTGTGTTAGCGATCAAAAGGAGGCTCATCCTGGGGTGCTAGAAAGGTTCTGTGTTTTTTTTTTTTTTTAAAGATTTTATTTATTCATTTGACAGAGTGATCACAAGTAGGCAGAGAGGCAGAAAGAGAGAAAGGCAGAGAGAGAGTAGGAAGCAGGCTCCCTGCTGAGCAGAGAGCCCGACGCGGGGCTCAATCCCAGGATCATGGGATCATGACCCGAGCCAAAGGCAGATGCCTTAACCCACTGAGCCACCCAGGCGCCCGGAAAGGTTCTGCTTTTTAAAAAGATTTTATTTGAGAGAGCGAGCAAGGGAGCATGAGGGGGAAGGATCAAAGGGAGAAGGGGACTCCCGGCTGAGCAGGAAGCTCAATGTAGGACTCCATCCTGGGACTCCAGGATCATGACCTGAGCTGAAGTCAGTCACTTAACCAACCGAGCCAGCCAAGCACCCAAGGTTCTGCTTCCTGATCCGGGTGCTTGCCTCCTGGGTGCATGTGGTTATGGAAATTCATGGAGCTGTACACTTCCAGGAGTCAAATATGTACCCTTACCTGCAATCATTTGTAGCCCCCAACCTTTCACATCTTCATGTTTTGTTTTAAGATTTATTTAGAGAGATCATGGGCAGGAGGGGCAGAGGGAGAGTAAGAGAGAAACCCAAGCAGACTCCATTCCAAGCTTGGAGCCTGAAGCTGGGCTCAATCCCATGACCCTGAGGTCATGACCTGAGCTGAAACCAAGAGCTGGATACCCAACTGACTGTGCCCCCAGGTGCTCCTCCGTGTTATTTTTCTGTACAGCAATTATTATAGTCCAAAAGTATCTCTTTGGTAAGACTAGGAGCCATGTTAGGATTTGAACCCAGTCCTTAGTACCTCTAGGACCCTGGGAACTCAGCTTTGCTGAGTCAGCATCCTGGAAAATGGGGGATAATAATAGTACCTTCCCTCATCACGGGGCTGGGTGCCAGGCAAGAACTTAAGATACATAAAGCACTTACGCAATGCTTCCTGCATGCTTATTTTGACAACATCCGATTGGAGGTGTAGGGCACATAGAAGCTCAATATATAATTTGTTCAAGAAATTAATGAAAGCATGGGGTTTTTTTTACCAAACAAAAACTGGCTGAAACACAGCGGGGTGTGGGGTGGAGTACCTCAGTTAAAGGCCCCTGGGCAGGAGCTCAGAGCCTGGGGAGCAGTTACACTCCTGTGAAGAGGCCAAAACTTCTTTGGTGGGGGGTGCAGGGGAGACAGCGGTGACCTAGGTCCCCACACCAATAGGAGTGAAGACCCAGAGCTCAACGCCATGCTCCCTCCCTGCCCCCGAGTTCCCCACTACACACAGCACTCAGGATCTGCCCCAGCAACCAAGCAGGCTTGACAGGGCTCAAACCAGGAAGACATAATGCTACCAGGCAGCACAGCAGCCTCCCTGGGCCCCCTTCTTCCGTGGCCCTCTCACCCCTCCCCTCTGGTGGTCAAACTCGGCAATTCTTTCCACCCTCAGGGGATGCGGGGCAGTTTCGGGAAGGGTGGGAAAACCTGCTAAGCAGGGTGGCCAAAGCGGGACCACGGAACCGGTTGTACAGGGCGGTCCTATTCCACCGCCTCCCCTCTTCCCCAGCAGCCCTGTCCCTCTCCTGCCCCACAGAGCAGAGGCAGCAGCCTCACAGAACCAACCATTTTATTACCCTGTGGGTAGACTGGGGCCTGTGGAAGGCAGGGGAGCGGGTGGGGGTGTGAAGCCTGAGAGCCCTGGGGCATGTGGGGAGGACACAGCAGTTGCTGGCTGGCGGGGCCAGGCCTCATTCTTGGAGGAAGGGAAGAGGCAGCCTCTTTCCACTCCTCTTACCCATCCCCATGACATTAAATAAACAAAAAAGCAACTTTACAGCGCAAAATATACAGGGACGTCCTTGACCCTAGCCCTGGTCTGTGCAGAGTGGGAAGGGGAGGGCTTGGGGGACCTCCAGTTTCTGACATTACCACAGGCCCCTTCCCAATGCCACAGGGTGGGGACAGGCCACTGTGACCAAGAAACAAAACTCCAACTTCTTCTGAAATCCTAGGCAAACAGGTCCATCTGTGTGTGGGACTCGGCTCAAAGGTTTTCGGCTCCTCCTAGACCCTGGAGCTTTGTCAGGAATGGGAGGCCGAGGCTTCGTTGAGATGTCTCCCAGAGGGGCTAGAGCCCTGCCTCAGAAGCAGAGTGGGCCTGGGAACCAGGCTGTAGGAGTCTGGTCCCGCAGTTTTCCCCGGCCCAGGCTTCCATCTTGGTGAGGAGGAAGCAGGGCCAGGCAAGAGCTGGAAAGAGGCTGCGAGAGCCCCAGGCTCAGAGGGGCTGGGTGGTGTGGTTATAGACCAGGTGCTCTGTGTCCTCTGTGGTGGAGACCGTAGAGTTGGCAGGGGTAGGGGGCTGAGGGTGGTAGTGTTGGCGGCGGTGGCCGTATCTGTGGAGGCCCTTCCTCTGGTCCTTGAAGAAGCAGTAACCCAACAGGGCTGTCACCACCACGATGCAGGTGACCAGGAGGACTGCAATGGCCACCTCCACGGAGCCTGGGGGAAGAAGGGGCATAATGGAGGCGAGCTCCCAAGGCCTGCTCAGCTCTGATGCCCACCCCCACTCTGTGCAGAAGGACTAAGTCAGATGGATGCCAGGTGTGGAACGACCTCCAGCGAATGAGCAGCTGGGTTCCATCAGAAGCTCAAGGAAAGGCCTGGAACTCTGACGGCAAACGTATCACATGCACTTTCCCATGCTTCCTTTCTCTGCTTGTGGCTATGGGTACTCTGTCCCTTTAGCCAACCTCAGGATCCTTCTCAACACAGGTTTCGGCAGTCAGCACTGATCACACGGAGCTAATCCTTGGGAGGACACCCACCCTTCTGTGAGAGGGCAGACCAGGGCTCACCTATGTTAGGAATGGGGCTTTCCCGCCGGAGCCCAAAAACATCCTTCTCTACAAAAGGATGAGGAGAGAAACAAGTCAATACTCAAGGCTCTGAGACTCAGCTGCTCCTCAGCGCCCCAGACCACCCACGGCCACCCTCCGCCACCCCCATTCCGGGTACTCTGATGATGAGCCAGGACTGGCCCAGGCCTGGAGACAGAGAACAGTGCTCTAGCTGAGCCCTTTCCCGCCCCCCTGCCTGAGCCCCACTGCCCAGCTCACTGGAGACACCGCGACAGGACGCAAGACACTGCTGCTCCTCCTCAAAGTTGTTCTTGTTGCCATAACAGCCACCATAGGTAAAGCGGGCACAGCGTTCACTGAAGGGGTTGTAGTACCAGCGTGGAATGTTCTCCTGGCAGAGGCCTGTGTCTGGCAGGTCCACACAGTGCCCTGGGGGGTACAGAGCAGGCCAAGGGGTGAGCGGGTCCATGGGGGGCCTCCCTGCTGCCATTCACCAGGCTCCACAGGGTCAATGCTTCCTGCCTCATGCTGAGACGCAGGGAGGGCTTCAGGGGGCCCCAGAAACAGCTGGCCCTTCTGGCAGTTTTGCCAGAAACAAGGAAGACAGATCCTGGACAACAATTTTAGACCCAGAAATACCCTCCATTGACTTGTGTAACTTTTTTATTGTTATTTATTTATTTATTTATTTTCATTTTCTTTCAGCTTTTCAATTGTGTCAAGGTCTTGGTTTTTCTATCCAACACTGGATGGTCTATCTTTTAACAAAGAAGGCTCAGGGTCTGAGCCCTATCGGGGCTAGGGCTAAAATTTATTAACATTTTTTTTTAAGATTTTATTTATTTGACAGATAGAGATCACAAGTAGGCAGAGAGGCAGGCAGAGAGAGAGGATGGGAAGCAGGCTCCCTGCCAAGCAGAGAGCCGGATTCGGGGCTCGATCCCAGGACCCTGGGATCATGACCTGAGCTGAAGGCAGAGGCTTTAACTCATTGAGTGACCTAGGCACCCCTATTAACATTGTTTTATTATGGTTATTTTTTTTTTTAAAGATTTTATTTATTTATTGGACAGAGAGATCACAAGTAGGCAGAGAGGCAGGCAGAGAGAGAGGAGGAAGCAGGCTCCCCGCTGAGCAGAGAGCCCGATGCGGGGCTCGATCCCAGCACCCTGGGATTATGACCTGAGCCGAAGGCAGAGGCTTAACCCACTGAGCCACCCAGGCGCCCCTATTATGGTTATTTTAATAGTTCATCTCGATTTGCAGCATGTAATAGTGGCTTTCGATGTATGCTAGTGAGATGACATTTCCTTTAATACATTAAGTTTGTTTATTTATAATACATTAAGTTTAAAAAGTACTTGACTTTGGGCACCTGGTGGCTCAGTTGGTTAAGCGTCTGCCTTCGGCTGAGGTCATGATCTCGGGGTCCTGGGATTCAGCCCAGGATACTAGGATTCCTGCTTGCTCGGTAGGAAAACTTTTCTCTCTCTCGCTCTCTCTGCCCCTCCTTCCTGCTAATTCTCTCTCTCTTTCTCTCAAATAAATTAACTCTTAAAAAAACAAAGTACTTGATTTATAGGAAAAATGCTAAGTAAATCACGTCTCGGTGATATGCAGGCATGGTTCAATCTCTGAAGGTGTTAAGAGGAGGACCCATGCTTGGGAAACATGGAAATGAAGAGAGCCTAGTTGCCCACCAGCTTTCTACCTGCAGGGGACAAACCCAGCAGGCCCCTCAGGCACCCTGGAGCAGTGAGGGAAGACAGCAGTGCCGGCCTCTGTCCCGACCCTGGGTACAGGGGAGAATCTCACCTTTGTCACTGCGGAAGTGGATGTTCTGGAGCTCCTCAAAGCCATTGGTGTCTGCAAAGGTGAAAGGTCAGAGGCCCAGGCCCCACAGGGGTCTCCCCCGGGGTGCAGGGTGCACAGTGCAGGCCTCCCCCACCCTGGCCCACCGCCCCTCCCTCTCCTAGGCCTCACATTTCTCACAGGTGGCCTCGTCGGAGGCATCGGGGCAGTCGGGAGTGTCGTCACACTCCAGGAAGCTGTCAATGCAACAGCCGTTGCGGCAGCGGAACTCGGCAGGGTGACAGGTGCCAGAGCACACTGGGTGGGGCAGGATGGCAATAAGGGTGAGGTCAGGCTCAAGCACAGGTCACTAGGTACCAAGAGTCCATCATCGACCTGGCCTCCTCTACCCCAACATGGTATTATGACATGTCCCCTGCTCCCCGACTGGCACCCCCGCCCCCCACAAGCCCTCCCGCACACAAACTGGGCAGATCCTGACAGGGTGCTGGGCAGCAAGGGGTGGGACACTTGTGGTCCTTCCACATCCTATGAGGGCAGGAATGGGCTGGGCAAAGGGAGCTGGGGCGGTGACAAAGCCATGACCTAGCCAAGGTGAGGGGAATAGGGAAAGGAGCAAAGCTCACCCGGACCGTGCCTTTCCAGTGAGGGGCCTAGAAGAAAGAAAACAGATGAGTGAGAGGAGTCAGTGCCAGGTCCTGGCAAGGATGAGCTGACAGGGGTGCCTGGAAATAGAGGACTCCCCCGCCTGTTGCCCTGAACTTCGGAGAGACCACCCATGGGGAAAGTCACCTGAGCCCCAAAGCTACCCCATAAAGGCCCACCTTGCACATCCCTGCAGGCTAGCTTGCACTCCTCTTCCCGAAGATAGTTGTTCTTATTGCCCAAGCAACCTCCGTAAACGAAACTCTTGCAAATCTGTTCTTTGGGGTCGTAGTACCAGCGCGGGAAGGAACCGCGGCAGCGGCCCACCTTGCTGGATGCGAGGCAATATTCTGGGGGTAAGGGAAATCTTGTGAGGGGCCCCATCAACAGAGAGGGCTGGCTCCACGAACGGCCTCCCTACCCCCTCCCTCACCTTCTGTCTGCTTGGGGGATAGCACAGTAACTGTGATATTGGTCATGCTCTCTGGCTGGTTGGAATGGGCCGCTGTCAGCTGGAACACGTAGGTGCCTTCCTTGAGTCCCCACAGCTTCACCTGGTCCGGCTCATTCTTCTACACACAGGAAGAGCCATGAGGCTTGGACCCCCGGATGCCGTTGGGCTGCCCCAGGTCCTCCCTGCCACACAGCCACCCCCACAGGGAGGGCACAGGGGCTTGGTATTAAAGGGATCCTTGGCTTCTATCCACCCCACCCATCTGGAATCTCAGATTGGCCTGTGGCCCTGGAAAGGGGGCCCTGGAGAGCTGAAGTGGGAGTCAGGGAGCCAGTCCAGTGTCTCACCTCTACTCTGACATCCGTGTCACCCTGTAGTAGGTACCAATCTGTGTTCTCCATGTCCTTCAGCACCAAGGGTTCCTGGGGCTGCACCTTCAAGTCTATGCCTGCCCGGACCTTGGGGATCCGGGGCGCTGAAGAGGAAGGTTAAGGTCAGGTCAACTCTCACAGAATGGACCAGAGCTCTCCTGAAGTGGGGGAACAATACGGAGCCACACAGGGGCTCAGCAGCATGCATAGGGCCCAGGCAGGGGCTCACAACTAAATCAGCATCCTGCCCTCTATTTAGATGTGTCTTTCGTATACTGAAGGCATTTTTGTTTTTAAGGATTTTATTTACTTATTTGAGAGAGTGAGAGAGAGAACATGAGCAGGGGAGAAGGGGCAGAGGGAGAGGAGAAGCAGGCTCCCTGTTGAGCAAGGAACCCAACATGGGGCTCAATCCCAGGACCCCGGGATCATGACCTGAGCTCAAGGCAGATGCTTAACTGACTGAGCCACCCAGGCGCCCCCTGAAGGCATTTTTAGGGTAAAACCTGCTTCTGGAAGCAAAATACGGAACAGCATGTGCCATCTGATCCCAAATAAGGAAAAAATATACATGAGAGAGGAGCTTATTCCCATTTTCTGTAACAACCAGGTACTTCTGCTAACCGCTTTAAAAAGTTAAAGTAAGGGGCGCCTGGGTGGCTCAGTGGGTTAAAGCCTCTGCCTTCGGCTCAGGTCATGATCCCAGGATCCTGGGATCGAGCCCCGCATCAGGCTCTCTGCTTGGCAGGGAGCCTGCTTCCTCCTCTCTCTCTGCCTGCCTCTCTGCCTGCTTGTGATCTCTGTCAAATAAATAAATAAAAATCTTAAAAAAAAAAAAAGTTAAAGTAACAATATTTTTTGAAAATCCAAGTAAGTAACACTACTACCCCTCATTCTGTTGGTCTGGATTGCTGGCTGGGAAGGCCAGCCTGGTAGAGGACTGAAGCACAGAGTCCTTGGGCAGCAACGTGGCAAGCCTTGGTGTCCCAGAGCTCGCAGACATGGGAGGAGAGTGCCTGCCTCTGGCACCGCAGACGGACTTTGCCTCCCCTTACAAGGGGTCTCCAGGGAGTCACACCCTCCCTCAGTCTGACAATGCGTGTGCCTGCGGCTTCCCCCAGTCTCAAGTTAGAGGTTTCGGAGAAACAAGATCAAAGCAGGATTCCTGCCTATACTAGGATGAATGCTGGGACCCAAACTACATATCTATGTCTAACTCCAGAACTTGTCAATGTGACCTTCTCTGGAAAAAGGGTCTTGGCAGAAGCAACAAAGTTAAGCATCTCCATATGAGATCATTCGGGTTTAGCTGCCTAGGCCGATCCGATGACACGTCTTTATAGAAGACAGAAGAGGAGAAAACAGAGGGAAGGGAAGCCGTGTGAAGATGGAGATAGAGACGAGAGTGATGCAGCCGCAGCCGCAGCCGCGGAACACTTGGAGCCTCCAGGAGCTGGAAGCGGCCAGGAAGGCTCCTCCCCGAAGCTTCAGGGAGACCTGGGCCCTGCCAACACCTGGATTCCAGACTGCTGGCCTCCCGAACTGTACGACAATACAATTCTGTGGTTTGGGGACACCTGAGTGGCTCAGTTGGTTGGTGGACTGCCTTGAGCTCAGGTCATGATCCTGGAGTCCCGGGATCGAGTCCCGCATCGGGCTCCCAGCTCCACGGGGAGTCTGCTTCTCTCTCTGACCTTCTCCTCGCTCATGCTCTCTCCCACTGTCTCTCTCTCTCAAATAAATAAATAAAATCTTAAAAAAAAAATTCTGTGGTTTGGTTTGTAGTACTTGGTTTCAGCAGCTACAGGAAGGGAGATGCTGCCTTTGAGGGGACTCCGGTCCTGATGGGCAGATGACACTGAGCACCAGGAAGCAACATGGGAGAAAAGACCAGTCAAGATGAAGCAATGTGTGGTGCGTGTCCCAGACAAGGAAGCGGACAGGCCGAGCAGGAAGAGGCCACAGGAAGTCAGAGCCCCAGTGGACAGCGGAGTAATGAGTTTCTAATTTTTTAATTTTTGTCTTTTTTTTTTTGGTTTGGCTGTGGGGAAGAATGTGCTGTGCTATTGATAACAGCAGAAAACGTGAGCCAAAAAAAGGAGCTGGGGTTTTGCAAGGCAGGTCTGGAGGACAAGAAAAGGCCAGCGTGGTGAGACATACCTCAAAGGGCTCTCAATGCGGAGCCAGAGCACGCGGACACAGCAGAAATGACATTCAAACATTTAAGAACTGGCGCTACAGGAAGGGAACAGCCATGGCCATGAGCAGTGGCAGGGTCCTGGAGCCCAGGGCTGCACCAGACACGGACTTCCTAGATGCATGATCGAGGTCCAGGAGTCTAGAGGAAGGGGCCCTCCTGAGCTCCAGGATACAGCAAGTGATCCCTCTGTCCTGAATTACTCCCCCCCCCCCTTTTTTTTTAATTTATTCATTATTTGACAGGGAGTGAAAGTACAAGCAGGGAGATAGAGGGAGAGGGAGAAGCAGGATCCCCACTAAGCTGGGAGCCCGATGTGGGGCTCGACCCAGGACCCTGGGATCATGACCTGAGCTGAAGGCAGCAGACACTTAAACAACTTAAACAACTGAGCCACGCAGGTGCTTCCCCCCTCTTTAAAGATTTTATTTATTTGTCAGAGAGAAGGAACACACCCAGGGGGAGCGGCAGAGGGAGAAGCAGGCCCCCCCACTGAGCAGGGAGCCCAATGCAGGAATGGATCCTAGGACCCTGGGATCGTGACCTGAGCTGAAGGCAAATGCCCGACTGACTGAGCCACCCAGGCTCCCCATCTTGAATTACTTCTCTGAAGCGAGGAGGCCAGTGAGGGGACCAGCACAGCAGTTCAGGGCACATGCGAAGGGAGTACTCGGAATTAGAGGGAATGGAAAGGAGGATGTGGTCAGAATGTCGGACAGATGCTTCCATTATGTGACAGGCACTGGCAGGTGGAAAAGAAGTCAGGACGCAGACAGAAAGGAAACCCAATCTAGAGGGAACCTGGGGGGTTCAATCAGAGAAGCTGAACTTGAGGGAGGGAAGACCACTAAGAGGAGTGACCAGCGGGCAGCAGAAGTGTGCATGCGAGCTCCAGAGAGGCCAGAGATGGAGAGAGACATGGAGCTGGGTTTACTGACAAAGCTTCCAAGAGTTTAACTTAGTCTGCTGGCGACCGTATCATCTACAGTAGGAACTGACAAACTTTGGCCTGCAGGCCAAATCTGGCCCACTACCCGTTATACTTCTAGATGGTTGAAAAAAATCAGAAGATTAGTATTTTTTTTTAAAGAATTTATTTATTTATTTGACAGAGAGAGAGAGAGAGAGATCACAAGTAGGCAGGGAGGCAGGCAGAGAGAGAGGGGGAAGCAGCCTCCCCACTGAGCAGGGAGCCTGATGCAGGGCTCGATCCCAGGACCCCGAGACCATGACCTGAGCTGAAGGCAGAGGCTTTAACCCACTGAGCCACCCAGGCGCCCCAGAAGATTAGTATTTTGTGACACGGGAAAGCACCTAAATTTCAAATGTGCATCCATGAATTGGAATACAGCTTTACCTGTTCGGTTACATATCGTCAACGGCTGCTTTCGCGTTACAAGAGAGTGGAGTGGCTGGAACAAAGATTATACGGGCCACAAAGCGTAACATAATTCCTATTTGAACCTTAACAGGAAGTTTGCTGACCCTTGATCTAAGTCACCTACGTTCCTAACTATCATGCCACAACTGCATTCTTGCCCCTTTCCAGATCAGAAAACTGACACTAGAGAGGTTCAATGACTTGCCCGGGGTCACTCAGTTTTTGAACAGAAGAGTTGGGATCTGGACCCTGGTCTATCTGACTCCATAGCTCTTTCTTTTTTTTAATTTTTATTTATTTATTTTTTTAAGATTTTATTTATTTATTTGACAGAGAGA